AGCAACAATCCTGCACACTTGCATTTAGGTCTTGGGTGTAGCAGTTCCTTTTGATTGACAGAAAGGGCAGAGTTCCCAGCATGGCTTTTCCTTACTGTCACATCTTACAATGCTGTAATATGTGCATTAGGACTGCCGGGACAGCACTGACATGCACCATTAACTAAAGTCCACAACTCTATCAGGGTCTACATTAGTGATGTGAGCTCTGTGGGTTTGGAAAGATACAATGACACGCCTCCACCATCCCAGAGTCATCAGAGTGATCTTAGAGTTTGCCAGTTCATTCCTCTCTCCCAACCTGAAACTGGCTATAGTGACCATGTTATCCTTGAACTCACAGAGACCTGCCTGTGTGTGCCTCAAGGCATACACCACCTCACCCAGCAGCCACTCACCAGCTGTCACCAGGTTTGCCTTTTCCAGAAAGCCATAGTGGAAATCATTGGCTGCAGCATTTCCAGATTGGCTGCTTTCCCTTGGTGACGTGTGTTTAAGGTCTCTCCTTTGCTCTTCAGGGATTGACATCCAGTTCTGCTTAATGCCAAGTCACCTTCCATGCCTGAGTTTTTCTACTCTCCTGCTGGAGGCATGCAGGAGACCTCTGCCTCATCTCAGTCTCTCAAGTCCACCATGAAATCTTTGAGTCAGGGCCTCAGAGGCTGTGATCAATCTCACTTGGCTCCTTCCAAGGCCTTCCCTGTCTGGGGCAGTAGACAGACAGATGGCAGTGGCCCTCTAGCATACAGACATCATGCACAGGTGCCTGTCACATGCAGTCAGGTGTGAAGGCTTGCCATCCCAGAGGAAATCCTGGAGGACTTTTCAGAGGCAGAGGCACAGGGGTTTGCTCTTAAGGCAGTGATGGAGACTGGGAGGCCTTCAACTCAGGCTCCAGGAGCCTGTGTTCAGGAATGACAAGAAACCTCAGAAGAGACTTCCAGCTGTGACCCTGCGAACTAGAGCTGGGGGTGGCAGGAGACACTGGAGATTGACAGGCACTGAAAAGAGCATAGATGCCTAGAAATGAATCTGGCATCTGATGAATCAGGGAGTGCGGGTTCCTGTCTGCTGCCCTTCTGGAAGACACAGTGGATATTTCACCTTGGATGAAGTGATCCATGGGTTCCACTCCCTGACCCTGCTGACCCCAGGCCCTAGAACGGCCTCCTGGAGGCAGCCTTCATCCTGTGAAGCCTCCTCCTCCCAAATCCGACTCTAATGGGGCAGGATGTAGGTTTCCAGGCCTTGTATGATATCTTCTCTCCCAAACGCAGCCCAGAGAGTGGCCTTCTGATGGAAAAGAGATAGTCAGGTCCTAGGCATGTACCCAGTCAAAGTGACTGGAATAAGCAGCTGTGGGATGATTTAGAGTCACCAAAGATGTTTTAAAAGCCAAAAAATCCTGCATCTCCTGGATCATAGGCCCCCATATGAGCCTCAGGACTGCACCGTGCAGGTTCCCCTACCCTCCCTCCTGACTGGTGTTTCCAAGCCCTGGCATGGCTGGCCTTGGCCCATTCAGCTGCTTTTGGTCTCAAGTTCCTTGCTTGTGAGGTAAGCGCCATGCTGGTGTCACAGGGGTGTCAGGAGGGCTGAAAAGACCCCTTTGCACCCAGTAGGTCTGAAGCTAAGCAGGGTATTGAAGAGAAGGCAGCGAGTTACACTGTTGTGTTCTCTGGTGATGACTTCACAGTGTTTGGGCTGGAGCCAAGGAAGGGGGGAATCAGTGCCCCGCCCAGCCCCAGCCAAGCAAGGAGGACAGGAGTTGTCTGCCTCAGAGGCGCCTGGGTCTTTGTCGCCTTTCTTTGGGTAATTTATTAGTTGGAAAGATTGCTTTTTCTTAACCGTGTGTGCCCCTGGCTGCCAGACTGTCTTTGACCTTCAAGGACAGTTTGTTCAGCCTTGCTTTGGGCATTTCTATATTTGGAGTGGCTTTAAAGAGGTAGAGTCACACCAACCCCCTGAATCCCGAGTATTCCTCTGTCAGCATTCAGCTTCCAGTCCCCCTACCCCCGTAGATGCCCAGTGCAGCATAGGACAGTTGGGGACTCTGCTTTCCCGGTGTCCTCCTGCCTGTCTGGCTCTGTCTTGTCTCAGACCCTCAAGTCATCCACTAGTGGCTGAGATGGCATGGTTCTGCCCGCTACTGTGAGAAACATGGTCCCCTCTGGGAAGCGCTGACGGCATGGGGTGAGAAGGAAGTGAACAGGCTGGGCCGGCTTGCTGCTACCTCTCCATAGGTACACTTGACACTGCTATTCCACAACTGCCTCAGGTTCTAGAACTGAATCCCACTAGGGGCAAAAGATGTGCGTGTCAAATCTGCAACCAGTTCACTAGCCTAGAGGGAAGCTTACAAGGTTTTCCTGGCATCCCTCTCTTGGGTTAGCACAGCTCTTCCTGTGACCACCAGAGGGCAGCACTACTACCAGACCCACAGCTTCAGGCAGCTCTAGTGGGCAGAGTGGGATCTGGCCAGCAGATTCATGCTCTTAATATAGCTCTTGCCCAGATGCATTTCCAGTAACTTGGGAACTGGTGCTGGGGATGAAACTCAGGACCTTTGCATGCTAGGCTACTGGGCTACACCCAGCCCCCACATATTCCTGAAAACGAGGTGGTCATTGTTGTGGAACACTTCAGTGTTTGCTGGGCTGGTTGCTAAGCACAGCCTTTTGCCCTTGATCCTGGTTTCCACCAGGACCAAGGGATGTGAGCAGAGGGTGGGTGGATGGAAAGGACAGATGGAAGGACAGATCGAAGTCAGAGGGTGGGTGGATATGCAGGACAGATGGAAAGGCAGATAGAAGGCGGGAGTGGGGTGCCGGGTGGACAGGAACTCTCTCAAAGTCACAAGCCCACGAGAGGCAGAGCTGAGACTGTATCCCAGGCCGGCTCACCCCACAGCCCTCAGGACCCCCAAATCTGAAATGACTTCCTGCTCATCCTGGCCTTGAGCCAGATTCAGGCCACATAATCTCTGCCTTGTCTGACCAGGAGAAGATACTTCCCATTGTCCTTTGTGTCCCAAACTGGGTGGACATAAAAGTTCTGGAGAGCCACCCCACCCTGCATCCCTGAGCCACACAGGACCAGGGTGACCCACAAGGATGTCATCTACAAGATCCCCACTGTGGCCCAGTCATACACAGCTGTGATCACTGACTGCAGCCCAGCTTCTTATCCATAGCTGTAAGGCCTGGCCACACTCAGTCAAGGAGGGGTCGAGTGCAATAGAAGACCCACCATGGCTGGGTCAAGGCTCTGGGACCTTGTGGAGATGGAGACTGGCTGCATGTGACAGCAAGGGCTGCAGGCTGTATCGTGCTGCTGCTGAGCGGCCACCACTGTCACTGTGGCCATCGGAGTGGCATAGATCACAGAGGTGGGGGGAGTCCTGTGGAAGAGGGAGGATGAGGTGAGCTGCGTGGAGGCCGTCAGCCTGGGCGGGCTGAAGTGGCGACTCAAGGCAGATGTCAGGTTAGAGGCGGTTTGGCTTCTATGGCTGGTCCCAGGAGGGAGGCCGGGGCAAAGGCCAGGCAGCAGCTGTGGGTGAGCAATCACATTTCGCTCATCTTGTTGGATCATGCTGCGAAGGCACGGCTAAGCCCCTGGGCTGTTACTGGAGATAACGCCCGCCTTCTGTACAGCTGGCTGTGGCAAAGGGTTGTGTGGTGGGTGGCCCTGGCCTGTGGCTGTAGGCTGTGGCTCCCCACCCTGCATCTGCAGTCCCTGGGCATGGTTGTGCATTCGTTCTCAGCATGGTGCTTCACACAGTAGATTACTCCTATTAAGGGGAGTCGCACTGGAGGACCGAGGCTGAGCAGGTTGTGCTGGCCTGAAGTTCAGACTGTGGCTGTTCCTTCTGTAGCTGCGGATGGAACCCTCACCTCAGCTCTGCTGGCTTCTGGAGATGCCAGCTCTCATGGCTCATGGTTCTCCCTTGTTGAGACTAGCTGTACTGCACCTCTCTGACTGCTTACCTAGGAAATGTCCTTTGATAACATTGGGCCATGCTGGACAGCCAATGGTCTTTCCTTTGCCTCCTTAGCCTTTGTCTGAGCTTAGGAGACCCCAAGTCCCATACATGTTCATAATGTCCCAATATATATCTGGGTACATTGCTGGTGTGGCAAAGTCTTTGCATTACCTGAGTGTGTGGTCTCTCTAGGCCAGGGCACAGTAGTCCCTGCCGCAGACCTACATGGTCCCTGTATGGCAACCTGGGGCCTATGGCTCTTTAGTTCCTCAAATACACTTAGTTTTGTTTCAGCCTAAAACCTTGAGAATCTCGTGGATGCTTCCTCATTATAGGGCTGTTGAGGGGCAGACCTGAGGCTTCTATACCATAACCTAGCATCCCACGTGCCGGCATCTACAGGTACTTTAGCAGGCTGCAGGGTCATACCTGGTACATGGACATGCCTGGTCTTAGGACCACAACTCTGGTTCTTGAACTTGTGGTCTCCAATACCTCTTTCAACTGTCTACCTGGCTGTGGCTCACTCTTGGGGGTCACTGACCATGTTTAGTCTGGTGTTTTGGGACTCAAAGGAAATGTGAAAACAGTTCTCAGAGGGCTGCAGCTGTCTGAAGAAGAGGCTGAGGGTCCCAGGACTGTAGGAGCACCGAGCTGTCTGGAAGTGATGTCACTCTGAGACTCTAGGTGTCAACATTGTACTGGATGGATGCAACAAGGGTTAGTTGCTCTTTAAGAGGGAACAATGGTGGCCTTGCTATATCAGCACTGCATAGAGGTATGAGGGACGTCATAGGTAAGTAAGCGATAGGGATGAGAATGCTTCCTGAGTAGAGCAGCCACAAACAGAGCCCACAGTGGGTTTACCAAATGGTCTTGACTCTCAGAACTGTTACCTGTCATGCAACTTGAGTGTCACTTGACCAGTGCTGTGGGTGGGGGCATGCTGGGAGGCATCCTGCTTGTTCTTCATGTCCTGAGTGTCCCCCACTTTAACCTGGCTCCTCTCTCCCCACAGTGTCGCAGCCCCAGGCTGCGCATGCCCCCCTGGAGAAGCCAGCCAGCACTGCGATCCTGTGTAGTACCTGTGGCAATGTGTGCAAGGGTGAGGTGCTGCGTGTTCAGAACAAGTACTTCCACATCAGGTGCTTCGTGTGCAAAGGTGAGCGTGTACTTGACCCTTGGCTTGGTTACACAGTGTCCTGAACTAGGCTTCCCAGCCTCCCTTCTCTATCTTTCTGGGTATAGAAAGCTCTCTGGTCACACCTGAGCGTCTGTAGTGTTCTGAGGCTGTGTCTTTCCAGAATGCCGTCTGGTGTGAGGGAGGAATCCTCTCAGGGGGATAGGGAGAGTCTGGATCCGCAGGGTTGGATGCAGGCATCTAAGCCCAGAATCAGAGATACCAGTCCTGGAGCTACTGGGGTACTGTGGAGAGTGTCAGTGGCCTTTGCTGGCTGTGCAAAATCAGTAGCAGTGTTCAGGGGGGCTTACTGCATCCCTGCTGCAGTAGCCCTGAAAACGCTCTAAATGAAAGTCACTCATTTTTCTTTGCTTATAAAAAGTAGCCTTAAAACCACAGCAATCTTAAATAATATCAATAACATGACAGGGTCTGAAGCTGTGTGTGCAGCCTCTCCAGCAGGTGTGCCTGTGTGTGCAGCCTCTCCAGGGTACCTGAATGGGTTTGGAGCCTTCTCCTCTGCTCTGCATTCCACACACATGCTAGGGGCGGAGCACACCTCCATCCAACGCCCAAGAAATGTGAGAAAAAGTACTCACAGGGTACAGTGGGTAGGATCCACCCACTGGACATGGCATGTGGACTTACGAGCTGGCATTGTTAAAGGACCACAGATGCTTTCCTACAGTGCAGGCAAGCCTCATGCACATGGCCCCTGGCTTGGCAGTGGTGTTCTGGGCTTCTGGAAACTGGCACTGCCTTCACCATGGTGACCCTCAGTGAAGAGAGGGAATGTTAAGTTTATTGTTTGAGTAGAAAAAGTAGGAGCCAAATCCTTGGGACATGGAGGTCAGTGCATGGGGGGGGGGTGTCTAGAGGCCTCCAAAAAGAAGTCAGAGGAGGTGCATTTGGCTGTAACTTGAAGATAGAAATTTGCCAGGCAGGAACAAGGCTGCCCTAGGTGGGAAACAACCCTACCAAGTGAGCTGTGTGTGCGTTGGGTGGGGGGCTGGTGACTGACTTCAGAGAGCGGAGGCGAAACTAGGAGCATCTAGGGGTTTGATTCCAGGTCCTTCTCTGGCCCCTGAACCTATAGAGGTACTTGGGCTTCTGTCTGTGGCATTCCAACCCCTCCACGCTGACCCTCTGGCTCAGCTACAGTGTATAAAGCCCTGATGTTTGAAAAGAGAATTTTCTGCAGAAGGGACCACCACAAAACACCCTTGGTGCTGTCAGCTCTGGATGGTCAGCCTCCATGGAGAAACATGGCCTGTGGGGTAGTAACAAGGTCAGCCTGAGCTAACTCTTACTTTGGTCTCATTCTTGGACACCGAGGGATCTGACTTAAGGTGAAACAGATACCAGCCTTCAGGGGCCTCATCCCAGGGCATGAGCAGCTGGTTCTCAGTGATGTCCCAAGAGCTACCAGGGTTGAGGGGGACCCCTACGCATCCCAGCCACCTTGGCCCTGATGTGTTCTCACAATGACACCCCATTTTTCTATTACCCCTATTGCAGCACATGACAAAAGCCCCAGAATCTTTTGTGATAGCCATCCCAGGATGGTGACTGGGACTGCTTGAGGAAAAAAATGATGACGTGGGCACCTCGCTCCCAGCATAGCCAGGAAAACCTGTGCCTCAGGCTCCACAGAGTGGGCATGAGTTGGGGGTTGGAGGGCAGCCTATTGTGTCATCTCACACAGCTCCAAACCACCCATCCCCAGAGGAAAGGATACATCAGCTCCGGGGGACTTTGCTACAGAGAGCAGCAGCCACTATCTGCAGCCTGGACGCAGGACCCCAGAATCTACAGAGAAAGTTAGGTGTGGGTATGCATCTGCTTAACCCAGTGCTGGTGGGGAGGCAGAGACAGGAGGATTCCCTGCAGCTCACCGGGCAGCCAGCACAGCTGAATCTGAGAGATTCTGTCTCAAAAGCAATGTGGAGAGCAAATGAGGAAGACATCTGACATTGTCCTCTGGCCTCCATAGGCACATGAACACATACAAATTACACAAAAAGAGAAAGAATTCCAAGAAGTGACCCTGACCCTGCCTTCTTGTCAGCTGCTGCCAACCCTTGTGTCCTCCAAAGATGAACACCTCCCCATACCTTCCAGGCCCCTGCTAACTTGATCCTCTTCAATCTGAAATGTGATAGAGGCACATTGTCTCCACGAGGGACTTGAGTTACTGGTGAACTTGTACTTTTTATTTTTAGGAGCAGAGGTCCGGGATGTCACTTCTTTGGGGTGACCTTGGAATCCTCAGAGCAGCCAGAAACCAACAGGCAGCCGAGGCAGCAGGGCTAGGGGCTGGTGGAGTATCTCAGGGTGTGATGCATGGCTGTCTGTGTCCCTCTCCCCATGTCACAGTGTGGCTTACTCAATTCTGTGTCTGTGCTCCCCTGCACACATTCTTTCTTTAAGGGCTGCCAGTGTTGTCACAGCTGTGACAAGCAGACATAGCCCAGTGTCAGCATCTTGAGTACTTGTGACTGTCTTGTCTCCAAGGCACTGCAGTATAATCCTGTGCATATCTGCCAGCCCCGTGGCCTGTTCTTGCAGAAGAATATTTGTTTGATCTATAGTAGGACAAGATTAAACCTTAGGTTTCATTCCCAGACTGGGTGTGGAGAAGGAATCCAGCATGGCTCCAGGCTGGCTTCTAGCCTATGGTGGAAATGATGGCAGCAGCAGCAGCCATAGGCTGAGACATAGGACTGTAAGGAATGTCACGGTCTAGCTGTGACACTGGCGTTCCTCTGTGCACGCACATGACATGGAAGGCCCCTTTCCTTTTGTACCAGCAGCCATGTCTCTGCAAACGGCATTGCTGTGGAAACTTCTAGGCTGTTCCATCTGAGACATTGAATGGTTCACTTGGGCGTGCTTCTGGGACTGGAGAGTATAAGGGAGGAGCGCACTATGTCCCCAGAAGTTGACTTGGGGCCTGCCAGCTGTTGGTGAGCAGCAGTCCCAGGGAGGATACTTTGGCCTATAGCCTGCAATCCTCTCTGCTCCTCCACTAGGCTCAGCAGTCCCGGCTCCCTGGAACTGTGTGTCAGGACAAGGGATTAGCGGCTCACAGTGAGCCTGTGGGTTCTCCTGCTCTGAATCTGGCCTTGCTGTGTTACAGGGGTCAGGGCTTGAGAACTGGGGGAACCAAATGAAAGTGGGAGGCAATGGAAAGTTTCTCTGTGGAATAGGGAAGCAAGTGTGGACTCAGTTGTCCTCCACTGGGACCTTCAGCCCAGAGGAGAGCATAGAGTGGTAAAGATGTACAGTCATTCTTTCTCTCTCTTTCTCTCTCACATGCATGCATGCATGCGTGCATGCATGCACACACGCACACACACTGCTCACCTGTTGTCCTACCACTGAAACAGCTTGAAGGGTCTCACAGGGTCCCAGAGGCCAAAGAGCCCCATCATGTCCTAGCAAGGGTGAGAAGCTGGTTCTCCCCTCAGTTCCTCGGTGCCTCTTTCTGGACGTTTCCACAGAAAAAGACACATGACTCTAGGCCAGAGGGAAGCTTGTGTCTTTCCCTGGAGTCCCATCGCAGGTACTGTCAGACATTTGGATTCGTAGGAGCTTGTGTCAGGTGGGCTGGGGTCAGATCTGCTGGCTGTGAGACATGAGTTGGTCCGTCTGCTAGCCCAGCCTTTGATCTTCTCCCCAGCATGTGGCTGTGACCTGGCCGAGGGCGGCTTCTTCGTACGACAGGGTGAACACATCTGCACACGTGACTACCAGAGGCTCTATGGCACTCGCTGCTTCAGCTGTGACCGCTTCATTGAAGGGGAAGTGGTGTCAGCGCTCGGCAAGACCTACCACCCCGACTGCTTCGTGTGTGCTGTCTGCAGGTGGGTGGCCCAGCCTGTACCATGCTGGCCTCTGCTCCTCCTCCTTGCCCATCTCCCTCCAGTCCTGGCTCCACTCCGCTCCATCAGGCACAGGGAGGTACAGCAGTCTGTTTGGGGTCTTTCAGAGCAGGCTCAAGGCAGAGCTGGCTGTGAGGAATAGCAAGGGCCACGCTTTGCACACCGTCTCTCTGCACCTTCTCCAAGTCTTCTATCTTCCCAAGCTCAGTCCCACCACAGCCCTTATTGCGCCTTACCTAGACCTACCTTGGGCCCTGCCCTCCTGCTCTCCTGCCCTCCTGCCCTCCACTGTCTTTTGGCTCCTGTCAGGCCCCAAATCCTCTTACCTCTGGCCTCCTAGGTGGCACTCCCTAGCCTGCCCTTGGCCTTGTTCTGGGCTCTACTCTTTTCTACATTGCTTCCTGTCGTGCCTGCCCAGGTGGAAGTCTGTCCCTGCTCACCCACTCCCACAGGCCCAGGCTCTACTTCCTGTGTTCCAACCTGCAGGTGACATGTTTCCATCTACAGAAGCTTCACACATTACTGTCCTCAAATCCACCCAGCCACTATTCCAGTTCCAGACTCCACAAATGACGACTGCCCTCTGCCCAGTCCTCACCACTGCAGTCTGTTCCCAGAACCCCTGGAGCATCCCCCAGGCTCCCGATCCTGCCCCAGAGGTGTCTCAGCCATTATAGCCACACATTCCTTCTTTCCGTTATTCATTCAACCCACGTGTGCCGGGCCCAGGGTTCCACAGGCATTGGTTCTGGCCCTGTAACCTCAGCTTCTTAGATTCCTCCAGAAGAGGGAAGCAGGCCCTATGGGTAACTCCATGGTCCTGCCAAGTCTGTCTCCAGCAGGAAGCAGGAATATGGTAGCTCCCTCCTCCCTCTCCCTCTCCTTCCCTTCCACCCAGTAGGCCTCTTCTCCCTTCCTCCCTTCTCCTTCTGTCCTGTTTTGCATCCTGACCCATCCTGGCCCACAGCTGTGTCCTGCCCAACACCATGGTGTGATCTTGTCTCAGGTGTCTGGGAGAGGGCAGGGACTGGGAGTCCTGGTCCCTGTTGTCTGACATAGAGCAAGTGAACTTCCTGTGAAGTGTCTGGATGTTACACTGGCAGCAAGGCCTTGTGGTCATGCCTTCTGACCAATGGCAGCCTTCCTGGGTCCTTTTGCATCCCTTCCCTGCCCTCAGGAAAGGCCCCTGGCCAGCAAACACAGGCTAGAGCGAAGATCAGAGTGTGCTTAGTTAGTTCCCTGTGTGGTGTTTCCTACATCCTTTCCAAGCAGCTGTCTGTGGTCACAGCATGTACCCAAGGCCAGAATGGAGCCTTTGGCCAGGAGACATCAAGGGAGGAAGCTTGGTGGGGGACATTTCCCATGGAAGAGTTGCTGTGTGCTCTCTAACGTGGCTGGGTCAGAGCTTTCCAGAAACACCTTGATGGTTTCCATGTGGTACTCTTATGAGGTTGGCCCAGCCACAGCTGGCCTGAGAGCACAGCTTGGGCAACCTACAAGTGATGGGGCGGGGCTCTGCCATTGCACGTGGCCAGACTAGACCCCACACAGAGTTAACCTTCAGCAAGCACACATTGGAACTGGGGCCCGGGTTCAGGTGCAGCAAAGCACAGGCCATCGTCCTGCTTCCTGCTGGAGGCTGACTCTGAGGGACCACAGAGAACAGAGTGAGGTGTTCCCTGGCCAGGGTGAGATGATGAATGGAAAGATGGATGTGTGAGACAAGGGAAAGAATGGGCGCTGTATTAGGCCAAATACCTAGCAATGTCACCATTAAGAGGCCTTCCCTCCGTGGTAACAAATGCCCAAGGGAAATGCTTTAAAAGGAAGAGCTCTGCCCCTCCCCCCACAACATCACTCCAGAAGACTCTGGCCGCCCTAGATGTATAATGTTGCTGGTGCTGCCCACATTCAAGATGGGTTCCTTTCTAGAAACACTCTCAGATAGACCAAGAGGTAATGTAATGGTTGCCAGATGTTTCTCAATCCAGCCAAGCCATCAGCGGGCTGAGGGTCAGCCACTGTGCACAGTTCCCAGGGGACACTGAGTTCTAAGCACAGTGATGGTCCTTGCTGGACACTGCAGGGGTGGGCCTCATTGATGGGGTTCAGACAGCTCTGGAACAGAGGCTGCTGTGCAGTGACCCCGCAGGGGGAGGTGAGCCTCCTTGAGATGTCTCTAGAGGCTGGCAGTTCACCCTCCTCACAGGAAGGTGTGTGACCACTGCGTCCAACTACATAAAGACTACAGCATTCAGTATTTCCTCAGAAGTGTAGAGCCCAGAAGAGACAACAGGCCAAACATGAAGAAATGTTAGTGGAGACCACCAGGGTTGACATCAGCAGACACAAACATGGGGACAGCTCTGTCCACTCTGTCGTTATTTAAAGGGGACCGTGTCCAGAAGTGGGAGGGCTATGGAGGGGGAGAAAGGAACCACTGGCAGCTCCTGAAGTGATCAGGCACATGCAAGAAATGAGTGGGGACTCAAAAGTAGCAGTAGACGCTTTCACACCGGCCCACATGGAAGTAGATACAGAACTTTTGTCTGCCTCTCTGTTAGTCTGCTGCCGGTCTGTCTGATGTTTGTGTGGGTAAGGGAGACAAAAACCAATTCTTTTGAAATAATGGATGTAATTGTCTAGAATTGATGAAAGCTAGAAGCTTATAGCCCCCAAATCTCAGTGGCTCTGAAAAGAGAGTGCCCAGATAGTCACCGTCAACCCCTTGTATCACATCCCAGCGAGAACTCACTGAGGTGTTCACAAGCCACACTGCTAAAGATTTGCAAGAAAAAAAAATCTAAAAACATCAGGAAAAATACAACTACCATAACAGAACCCCCCCCCAATACAAACAAAATGCCATGTCTGTGGAGGAGCATGGATGAGCTCAGACCTCCACCAGGAGCTATGCATGCTGGGAAACAGTAAGAAGATGTCTGTAAGCACCAAAAAGAAAATAAAATCTACCAGAGCTGTATTTAGCCAAAATCCTTCTGAAAAAGAAGGCCAGACTCAGAGCCCAAGGCCCTCTGTGGGATGATTTCACCTTACCCAGAGTGGATCGACCTTGTTGATTAAAATGGCATCAAAATGGTGATTGAAATGTTCTGAAATTTATTGTGGTGATGGTGTTACAGCTCTGGGCACGCTAACTTCATTGGGTTATTTGTACACTGAGGCCTGAGAATAGTGAGTGTCAATGAACAGGCACCATAAGAGACGAAGACAAAATCTTTACTGTACACATAAGAGCTAAATGAATTTGGCTCCAGCAGGCCTGCCTTGCTACGGAGTGATGGTTTTGCAGACTGGAAGGAAATAATGTCAAAAGATATCAACAGAATCTCAAAGCAGCCCAGCATGTCAGTGCACACTTTCAATCCCAGTTTCGAGGAACTTGAGACATAAAGCTATAGACTAAAGTTCTGTCTCAGAACAGACAAAAACATAAAATCTAAAGCAGGGGGCAATAAACCCTTCCTCTCTTAAGACGTTACTTGCAGGGCATTTTGTCATAACAACGAGGAAGTAATTGATATAGTCCAAATATGTGAAGAACTACAATCCAAAGGAAATGTCCATCATGAGCAAAAGGGTTTAACAGATGTCTCACCAAAGAGCATACACAAATGGCCAAAAGATACACACTTACATTTACACCATAGCTACTGGGGACATCAACCAAAGCAATTGTGAAATGGCAGCTGTAGATACAACATATGGTGGATGGCAAGGGTTATTATAGCTAGGAGATACGAAGTGGTACAGTTTCCTTGGAGACAGAGTCACACAGTAGGTGACTGGGAATTCCACTTTGGGAAAGGACGTCCCATTATGCAGGTGTCCAAGTGGGAACAACCCAGATAGATGCCTTTTAACAGATGCAATGGAGTAATACTCAGTCCTGAAAAAGAACAAACTGGTGACATGAGGAGCAACAACATGGGTAGATAATGGCAGTGTGGTATTGAACAAAATACACAGCGTCAGGCGGTGGCAGCTCACGCCTCTAATACCAGCACTCGGGAGGCAGAGGCAGACGGATCTCTGTGAGTTCGAGACCAGCCTGGTCTATAAGAGCTAGTTCTAGGACAGTCTCCAAAGCACAGAGAAGCCCTGTCTTGAAAAACAAACAAACAAACAAACAAACAAACAAAGAAATACTCACACAGCTTTGTTGTCTGGGGTATGGGAAGTGGGGTAGTGGGAGAGAGCCACAGGGACATTTGCACTGGTCAGGAGTTCCACAGCACAGTATCATTGATTATACTGAGTGCATTTGCTAGAATGGATTTCAATTAAGCCATTTGAGCTTGTAGGGGAATGTCCCCTGGATACTCACAGCCCTGGAGTCTAGGCTAGCATGTTCCACCAGGCATGTCTGAGTGAATGACAAGTCTGTGTGGCATGTCATTAGTCTTCTCTTGCAGGTGAGAAACAGGAACACAGAGACACTGAGTAATGTATCCAAGTTGCACAGCTGGAGTATAATTTATCATATTAGAAATGGTTAGGGACTCCCACTTAGCCCTAACCTTCCCCTTACCTGGGGAGATGCATCATGTTAAGACATGGTAGCTTTCAGATCACAGTGCTGGCAGGCGACAAGTGCAAGCATCCATGAGCCACCGGGTACCCAGGTCAGCCAAAGGCCAAGGTTGGAGGACCAGCCAGCAAGGACCTGGCCCTGTCTAGTCTGTGTAGGTTCTTGGTCCCCTAGAAAGAGGACTGTCCGCTGAGTCAGGAGCCATGGCCTTGGAGTGACATCAGGAGAGAAGGGCCAGAGGTGGCCAACAGGATGTTCTCTCTCATTTCAGGCTGCCCTTTCCTCCTGGGGACCGAGTGACCTTCAACGGGAAGGAGTGTATGTGCCAGAAGTGTTCCCCGCCCACAACACTGGGCAGCAGTGCTCACCTGGCCCAGGGCCTCCGGAGTAAGTGTGGCTTGGCCTCTATAAGGGTGGGTACTGAGCTGCAAGTATGTGGGAGGGGGTGGCCGAGCCGGACGTTGTGGGACCAGCACAGTAACAGAGCACTGAACACTGGGGACCCAGTAAGGAACCACCCTGTTCCTGCCATTAAGTCTTTTACACAGGCTATGCCTATCACAGCCACCTCAGTTTTTACATTCCACACACCTTCTGCAGTCACCCAGCTCTAGGCCTCCTCCTCCAGAAGTCTTCCCAGTCCTTCTCTGTTCTTCCCTTTTGGTGCTGGCACAAGACTAGGTCCATCTTGATGGCAGAGTCATATGCAGCGTGCGGGGCAGGAGACAGACATCTTTGGGAACTCCTGTGATCTCTCATAGACCGCTGAGGATGTTCTGTGACTGGCAGATAGGCAGTAGCTGCCACAGAACTGTTCTGCCACTGGCAGAGCCACGCAGGGCTATCAGGGCACCAGAGGCATTGACAGTGAGCACTGTGTTCCCATGACAACACTCCTTATGCACCTTGCATGGACAGGGATGGGGGTAGTTATTGAGAGCAACTTCATGGTGGCCCAGAGCTACAGAATGCCCCTGCTGAGCCCAGGCAGAGGAACCCAGATAGTCCTCCATTCCCTACTCTGGAGTACCAGGTGGGCTGGTGGCAACAGAGTGGCAGTCATACCTGGGACCTCTGCAGCAGCCCCAGCTCTGGCCGCAGCAGTAGTTGTGAGAGCAGAGCCAGGCTCTCCGGTAGATGTGGTCTGTACCTGCCTTTATTAATTCATGAGGTACAACCTTCACACCTGGGATCTGTCCTTGGATTTGCTTTCTATGGGGTCAGAGCTATTACTAGCCCACAAGAACATTGCTTTTTCCTTGGTATACACAAGTGACTTGCCAGTGGTCATGTAGCAGGTGGGAGGCAGTTAGTGCCTGAGCCTTGGGAGCCTCACCTGGAGGTTACCGCTCTGATGCCTCCACAGGAGGCCCATCTTCTTACCTTCATAAAGGTCTGTTATAGTGTCACCCACAGGCCAGCCATTGCTCAGAGAAGCCGCTCAGTCCAAGCACTGTCAGTGTTTGCTACAGACTGTGGGATCATGGTTTGAACTGGGATATATTTTAACCCTGGGATCAGGGAGATAAGGCAAAAAGTCCTCACAGTGCAGGTGAAGTGAGCTGGGGGTGATTGTAAGAGTGCCCACTAGCACAGGAATGTCCTCCTTCATGCTCTAAAATTGAAATTCATGCATGGATTGATGAGGTGATAAAGGTCCCCTGGGAAGATTGCATAGAATGGAGTATGTGTATTATACATGCATGCACACATGAATGCAACTGTGTACTCATGCACGGACACACATGTACAAACACATACATACATGCATGCATATACATTCACATGCATACATGCATGCACACAATCATGAACATACACACACACACATGCATATACGTGTACATACACACAGATGTCTGGGAGGACATATACAGAGTCCCAGAGGACAATATACTCATGCTGTCACCCAGGTACACTCTGTCACTAGGGGAATGAATAGAGATCTCTCTGTGTTCCTGATTATAATATCATGTGCCCACCCAGGCTGCAAACAGCACATAATATACCTATATATAGGCAAGGTGGTGGTGGATGCACACTTTTAATCCTGCACTGGGGAGGCAGAGGCAAAAACCAAAAGATAAAAATAAATAAAAAGTAAAAATAACCACACATCCTTGCCCAGGTGCATGCGAGCATGATGCACAAGTCCCCATAGTTACCCCTGCATGCTTACCCTACACTGCCTTTTCCACTTTGATGATAGCCTACACATCTATCAGTGAGTGACAAGGACCCTGGTGTAACAGTTCCCTGTGTGGAGGACCAGCTGACTTAGCAAAGTCGGGCCAGGACATGAGGTCCAGGGTCCTCAGCAGCATGGAGCAGGGAGGCCGAGGCATCCGGGGAGACTGATCAGGACCTCAGATTAGGACACTACCCCACAATGAAGAATGCTGGTCTCCATGGCAGGGGTGGAGGTGGGCTTCAGAGAGAGAAAGTTAGAGACGAGCAGGGCAGGTACGGAAGAAGCTGTCTGGGCCTGGGATAGGTCCCAGCTGACTAGGGGTTATAACACAGAGCAAAGGGGAGGAGAATTCCAAATGCAGGCGTCTCATAGCCAGAGGAAGAGCTAGGGATGTGTGGATCAGAGGGAATCACCAGGAGGGAGCTCCAAGCAGATGAGATGTGGAGCAGGGACTGGAGGTGAAAGCTGGGACTCAGCTCCTCAGGAGGGGAATCCTGGCAGGTGAGAACGGATGGCGGGAGTAGGCATGGCAAAAGGGACTGGGGCCTCCTCTCTGCAGAGGTCATGTCCATCTGGTGAGATGCCATATTATGTGGAAGTTCAGCATTCTGCCTCCAGCAAAGGGTGGGGAGTTCCCGTCCCAGGAACTACCAGTGCACCTGATCAAGCAGGCCATCACATCTTTTAGAAGGACGGCTTCATCTCCATCTTGGTTTTCCAGCTTCCAGCCCAGGCTGCATAGTGTCAATGTCCCTCACACACAGGATCAAGTCTCACCACGGGCTGTGCAAAGGCTTCCTTTAACTGTGAGGCAGGGCCCTTTTAGCATGCCACTGTGTGTCTCTCTCCTCTAGGGCTGTCCCGGGTGACTTTGTGTGGCCTAATACTCTGAGGGTTTGAATGCCTTGGTGGGGTTTCTGGGCCCTGCAGTAGGAGGCCCCTGGTCCCACAGCGAAGGTTTCTGTTTGTTCTCTGTTCCAGGTTGTGGGGGTTGTGGCCTAGAAATCAAGAATGGCCAGGCCCTGGTGGCTTTGGACAAGCACTGGCACCTGGGCTGCTTCAAGTGCAAGACTTGCGGGAAACTCCTCAATGCAGAGTACATCAGCAAGTGAGTGTGGCAGACAGAGCCAGTTCAGGAAGGCCTTGACAGACGCTGCAGGTGGGGCAGGGTCCAGTCCTGCTGGGCTGAGTAGTTCTGCTCCTGGATAAAGCTCTGGTCCCTGCAGCAGTCCTCTTCCTTGCCAGCTCAAGTGGCTTTCAGTCTCCAGCTCGGACTTGCGGCTAGGAGCGGAGGAATGGAATGGAGCTGGTGGCTTTGACTTCTGTTGGTGGCCTCTCTGTTCCAGGATGATACTGCTTGCTTGGTGCCTGGGCATTCCTGGCACTGGATGCCCTGTGGAGCACATAACAGATGGTAGAGGCTAGCTGCAAGGACTCAGGAGGCTGGCTGTCTCCATGGGAGCATAGCAGCCTATAAGAGCATGCTTCGATCTGCATAGATGCACTTTGGTATATCCCCTACCCATTGGCTCAGGGTTCCCCCAGATGCTGTTAAGGGGGTGAGCCTGCCTGGGGAGGAGACAGCATTTGCTACAGACTGTGGGATCATGGTTTGAACTGGGATATATTTTAACCCTGGGATCAGGGAGATGAGGCAAAAAGTCCTCACAGTGCAGGTGAAGTGAGCTGGGGGTGACTGAAAGAGTGCCCACTAGCACAGGAATGTCCTCCTTCATGCTCTAAAATTGAAATTCATGCATGAATTGATGAGGTGATAAAGGTCTCCTGGTAAGAGTGCATAGAATGGAGTATGTGTACTATACATGCATGCACACATGAATGCACCTGTGTACACATGCACGGACACACATGTACAGTGTATGCACATACTTGCACAAACACATACACACATGCATGAATATACATTCACATGCATACATGAACATGCATACATACATGCACACAATCATGAACACATATATATGTGCATGCATATACGTGTATGTACACACAAATGTCTTGGAGTACATGTACAGAGTCCCAGAGGACAATATACTCATGCTGTCACCCAGGTACACTCTGTCACTAGGAGACTGAATAGAAAGTACCAGAGACCTCTCTGCGTTCCTGATTACAATACCATGTGCCCCATTGATCACAAAATTAAACATTGTCTAATGTGATGTCCCCAAGCCAAAGTGAGCTTCCACTCAGATGGATGAATCTGTGACGCCTTCGTCCCCCAGCCTCCATCACAATCACACTGTGGGAGTGACTCAGTTGGGCAGAGCCTGGAGTGCAGGACTCTGAAGAAAATGGCGATGTGGCCCCTTATCAGGTGCCCCCACACACAGGGCGTTGGCTCACCCACACCAGCATGTTACTTAGCAGCCTCTGGAGCCATCCCAGAATTGAGGGGGAGATCACATTGATGTTGCCATGGAGATGGAATCTCAGAACTTCCTGGGTTTGCTGTAGATAATATGAGCTTATGGGGTCTCCAGGTCTGCATCCTGTCTCCTTCTGAGAGCTGAAATCAGTGAAGGACAGTCACAGAGGGGCACCCAGCCCTGTAACCCTCATCCTGGGATCTTGTGAGGGGCCTGGAATTAAGGGAAGGACTGTGGCACTCAGTCTAAACCCCAGCAGCCCAAGTATACCTGCCTGTCATGGCTGTGGAAATCCGTGGAAATCTAGTAGAGTCTACCCTCCTCTCACCTCTACACTAACTCCTGTTGGCCTGTAGCCCATGGCTGAAGGCAACCATAGCTAGCAACGCCAATAGTCTAGGACATGACAAGTGATTTCTTAAGTCCCCAACCTCGCCTCTTGTGAAGACCTCACTGTCATTTCTCCTGTTTTGCTGTGGGAGGGGTTGAGGGTCAGTGATGTTAAGTGACACACTTGGGACATGGCGTTTGAGTCCGAGGCTGATTGCATGTCTCCTCCCAGCAACTGTTGCCCATCTTAAGTGGGGATGATAAAGGTCCCAGTTGCAGCCTCCATGCCTCTCTGAGCCCTCCCTCCCCTGAGCCCTCTCTCCCTGCCTCTGTATCCTTCATCTATTGTTAGGCTCACAGTGCCAAGAAAAAAAGGATAGGTAAGCTGGGGGATATCCTGTCTACACCGCCTTCCCATGACACTGGACTGATGGCTAGCCCATTTAACACAGAACAGAGTTGGCTACTCTCCTGGGCACAGCTTCTAGACCAGTCTGCCTCTACACTGACTCCTGCTGCCGTCAGCAGCACTAGGTGTGTAAGTCACACTTGAAAACTCGGGCAGAAGGCAGGACTCACCCTTCATATTTCTCATGAAGTTTCAAAGTGAGTGATAAATGAATGCTAGGTGTCCAGGAATCGTCCCTTGGAGTAGGAGAAAGCTACCTTGCCTCCATCTTGAGAGAAAGTTCTCTTATGAGTTTTGTTGCATGTTGGGGACCAAGTGGGTGACTCCATGCCCTCCTGACTGCCTGTCTCATTGCAGGGATGGGCTACCCTACTGTGAGGCTGACTACCACACCAAGTTCGGCATCCGCTGCGATGGCTGTGAGAAGTATATCACAGGCCGAGTGCTGGAGGTGAGAAGCCTGTGGCCAGTGCTGGCACTTTCTGAGAGCTAAGTCATTTCAGAAAGAGCCCCGAATCTTCCCCTGTGCCCTTAGCACACTCCAAGCCCTTTCCTCCCCATACAGAGTTCATATCGATGGTGCCACGCTGTGTGTAATCTCTTGGGACCCCCTTCTTTTCCATAGCCCAACACTCATAGCTCACTCAGATGTAAGCGCATGTCAACACGTGTCACACACTCTGATGTGCTGGACTTCTCCTCTGGTTAGGTGGGACATACTCTGATTTACTGTGGTAAATAAGAGGGCAGTGAACATCTTTTCCCAAGGCTCCATTCACACGAGTAATCTCCATACTCTTCCTTCAGATAAGTCCATAGAAACATGGATGCCAGGTCAAAACTGCAAACGCTTGCACAGGTGGTGGCAGGCACTATAAATTGCATGCTTTTTGGTTAGAATCTTCTGGCCCTCTCCCGCCTTAGCCTTTGCCAACCTGGTAAGGCCTTGCCTTTCCCCAGCCCGGAGGCAGGTTGGCTACTGTGCCTCTTTTTCATAAACAATGCTTGCCTGCGCACTGGGCCCTTCAAGTTGTTTGAATGGATTGTGCAGCGAGATCGTGACTTTTGTCTCCTGTCAGTCCTGTGAGGAGAGCATAGTTGGTATTCATACAGGCAAATCCTGCATTAGGACAAAAGATCAGCCTGTCCCATCCTACAGAAGCCTGGTCCCAACACCATCTATTTCTGCCCTGCTTGTCCCTCCAACAATCGCTGGAGTTTCACTCTGCCCAGGATCCTTCCCTGTTTCTCTGCCTGAACAAGAGTTCATCCTTCATGGCTTTTGTTTTCATTATTTTTATTTTAAATATTTTTGAATCTGGGTCTCATGTAGCCCAAGGCTGGCCTTGCACTTCTTGCACAGTTGAGGCTGACCTTGAACTCCTGATCCTGTCTCCTGCTCCAGAGTGTTATGTGCCCCAGGAACTTTTAAAACAGCTTAAGCATCTCTTATTAAGAAGAGCATCTGCCAGCATTAGCCCCTGGGACGGCAGTGACTATGACACCTGTGTGGTTTTGCTTCCCGAGGCAGCCCACTGGCCTTCCTGACTCTCAGTGTCCCTCCCCATAGCACACTGAAGCCTGTTCTCTGCCCTCCCATAGAGGACCTCAAGCTCAAGAAAACAGCCCTGTGCTCCCGTGTGGACCTGGGGCTCCTGCCTCTCCCTTAAACTTTGGCACCTGTGCACCAGCTGACCACACAGTTGCCCCCCCTTTCTTGGATGTGAAAAAGCCTTTAGATCTCAGCCAAGTGTGGGGAATCCCCCAGCAGAGCCTCATTTGAGCAAAGGCTGCCCTAAATCTCCTGACCTCTGGCAGAGAGCAGACCTTGGGTGGCATGGTAATCTAATCTAGTCTCATCAAGTTTTGACCTTGTGGGCTGATGTGGGCACATCTGGAATCTGTCTCTGCCGTTGCTACTAAAAGCACAGTTTGTGAACATGGCCCACTTCATAGCAGAGTCCAGCAGACAGACCCTCATCTAGGAAAGCTAGCCTACATGGGCAGACCTGGCCCAGTGCTGAGACCTGGCTGTGAGAGTGTTGGTAAGGTTTGAGCTACGACATGTTCCATGTCCCATAGCCCAGCTCTGAGTTGCCCCAGGATGATATGTGAGAGGGACATTCTTGTGAGGCCATTGGACATGACCACATCTGCAGAGTGAGTATCCTTATTGTGTCTCTGAGCTAAGTGCAGAAGTAAGGACTAGGTTCTGTGACGCACTGTTGGTGTACTCTGTCTCGACTGTGGGAAGGGGCTCTCCTGGCTATCAGGATCTGGACGGTCCTGGTTTTCCTCTACAGCCTACAGTGGAGGAGAAAGGGTGCTTTCGGTTTTGCTTTTTCTGGGGGCGAGTGTGCTGCGGTGGTGGTGGTGGTTCCTGGAGGTGGTAGCACTAGAGTCTTTGTGCTGCCGGCTCTGCACAGCTCTGAGCATCCTCCTGGCGGGTGTGAGGTGGGAGCCACGGGTGGAGACAGCCAGCTCTGCAGAAGAGAGCAGCGCTGCAGTGACACCGCCTGAAGCTGGGCCAGGCAGGCTGGTGCCCGGCTAGTGACACTGAGCTCTTGGGGAGCTGCAGGAACAAGTGACTTATTGGAAGAAGGAACAAAAAAGGACAAGAGTACGGAGGCTGGCTGAGGGTGAGGGTGACACCTCAGAGCAGGCGGTCCAGGCTCGCGTGCTGAGAAGGGCTGGGGACAGACCTTGAGCAGGTAGGAAGCCTGGCAGAGCTGCCAGGGCTTGGGCTGAGCCAGGTGGGTGGGCTGCTGGGGGTCCCTGCAGTCCCTCTGGCCCCTAAGACCATTTTCAGCCCCCAGCTGTCAGCTGTCTTCTCTGTGAAGCCCAAGTGGGAGCCTCCTGTGCTCCCCCACGACAGCCCCATTTGTGCTGTGACTGTGTGAGGTAGGCACGGTGCCATCTTAAGCTCTTGGTGCCAGCAGTACTGCCTGGGAGATAGATGTGTGTTCCTGGTGATGGTGGGTACTCCTTCCTCTTCTAGTCCTCTGCCATTCCTGCTGCCAACAGCAGTCCTGAGGAGCCCGCTCCACAGGGACCGGTAGGGTCAAGGAGGGGCATTAGCAGAGGTGGACAGTTGAGAGCAGAGGTGGCGTGTGGGTGATGAGGCAGAGCTCACACCTGGCGACAAGGTGGAGCCCTGAAGTGGCTGATGTCAACATGCTGAGAGCTGCAGTTTGCCGGAGGCCTCATGAGGCCTGTCCTTAGGGAGTCCTCTGGAGCTGGGTACAGGAAGGAGGTGGGGAAGGAGTGTGTGTCCCTGGAGATGCTCAGGGCCTAGTTATTAGCTAGCCATCTTATAAGCCCCATTTCTTCTTTCTGCAAAGGTGGGGGTGAGATGGTGTGGGGGTGTAACTTGGCTCTGTTCTCTTTTAACCCCGATGGTACCATGGTTTGGGCCTCTCTTCCAGTGCAGTTTTATACCTGTGGCTATCACCATGGTAACAAGAAGTCCAGGTCCCTCTGGGACCATTAATTAATTCCTTAATCACTTCTTTCCTCTCTCCATCCCTCTTTTCTTTCCTTCTCCATTCCTGGTGTTTATTCCTGTGGGCTAGCCCCACACAGATGGGGTACTCGGGTCCTTGCCATGAAGGATGAAGGGAGCTTCTGCAGGAGAGAAGGCTGTCCAGGCTGCTCTGCCCTGGGTCAGGGACTGTTTCCATACACCATCTCCTGTCACGATGGGATGCCACTTTCAACTGCCCACTTCCGTATCCCATGGGCACTTTCCTTGCCACTCCATATGCATGGGCTCCTTACTACTGGCAGAGAAAAAACTGTTTTCAAATGGCTAAGAGCATCTGAAAGCTGAAGATAGCAATGAAGGCAGCATCTCAAGCCCATAAAACCAGTGTGCTCATTTTTAAACTGTAATCAAAAGGCTTACATAAAATAAACAATAAAATCACTCCTGGTGAATGCTGACACCTTAACTATTCAGTATTTAGAAATGATATTTTTGCATTTCACCCACCCACACACATACACACACACACACACACACTCATGCACATTTACACATGCACATAGAGGCAACCCACAGACTTACACGTGTTTACAATACCCAGAGACACACAGAAAAGCACCGATACACAGCATGCCACATGCAAGCACACAGACACAGAGACATAGACATACATGTACATACCAACAACACGAATCGGTACACAAACACACACAGAGACACAGGCATGAGTGTGTATGCCACTGTAGGCTGGGATCCTCAGGGGTTCCCACATGCGTTTGGCCAGAACTCTCTGTCCCCAGGAAGTTTTTCTGCTTGACTGTGGGCCTGTGTTCCCCCTCAGAGCTGCTTTCATGGGTGCATCCCTGGGTGGGCCTTAAGGATGGCTGTATGGATCGATGGTGCAGATTCCCAAGATGACTTCCTAAGTGGAGCTGACAGAGAGAATCAAGAGAGGAGGTGGAGACAGGGGCCCCCAGGGTCCTATTATGTCAGTAACAGATCCTGGGGGGTGAGGAACAAGTGGGGTGGTAAGGGGGATGAGCACAGGGACAGAGTCAGCATCTGGGATGGGACTCCAGACCTCCGGGTCTTTGCTGGGCATGCACTATTGGCTCTTCTTTTGGGAACAAGTGGTTCCCACAGGGTCTCAGGTAGAAGAGCCCTGGGGACTCAGTGCACCTGCAGCCATCAGGTATTCCTGGGCTGCACCTTGGCAATTAGGACTTTTAGCATCTGGATGCAGTGCTGGAGACTCACAAGGAATTTGCAAAGCAGGCATGGTGGTACCCACCTGAAATTCCAGTATTCATGGAGTGAAGCCATGAGACTTGCAAGTTCAAGGCTAGCCTGTGCTACAAAGTGAGATTGTCTCTATAGACCAAGGGCTGGGATAAAGCTCCGTGGGAGATCAGTTGCCCAGCAAAGGCAAGACTCTGAGTTCAAACCCAACATTACAAAAATAAACAAGAATAAAGGCATGCATACTTTTGAGACTAGCCAAGGAATGCCCTGGTCTCCAATCAGCCACCTGCAGGACCAGCTGTACTTTCCATGGGGAAGCCAAAGGAGAACCCAGGGCAGTAGGAGGCACATCCAGGTCCCCAGATAACTTGCTTCATCAGACCTTATGGTTGGGTGCAAGGAAGAAGGTACTGGTCTCAGATGTGTGAGGCTCAGTTAGGAAGATCTGGATTTCTGCCGGCCATGTGAGGAGTGGTCCCTTGCTCTACCCTGCCGAGGAGAGGCAGTGTCTCAAGGCATGTGGCCTGTGTCCCACCTTAGTGCCACAGACCCTTTCTGCAGGGCTGCTGGGGACTGTCCTTGGAGCCCTGCCTACTGGCCTGGGCCTGCTGCGGCTGCAGGGACTCCATGCCCTTGTAAGCTCCTCACGTCTCCATTGCTAGCCTTGGTCTGTTTTGCTAAAGACGACAGTTGCTTGTTGGAAGGCACAGCTATTTTTCTAAAAC